AAATAAGCTAAAAATAAATAAATAAATAAATAACCTGGCAATAATGGAAGATTATTTAAAAACAAAAAGAAACTCAAAAAAGAATAGGTCAATCAAGGACATATTTATATATAATCAAGCTGTCCCTCAAGTCTCCACATAATAAAGATTTTAGAATAAGCAGTTTTAAGCATGCCAAGATATTCTACATCACAAGTCATGCTTCAGGAATCAATCTATTCCAAGATGAACTTCATCCACTCATAATATGACTGGGAAAACTTGGGCAAAAAGGCAGAGTGTGAACATTCAAATATTTTTAAATACAGACCTAGGAAAGTTAGAGATGGGTTGAAGAATAAGATGTTGTATGATGTAGGCTACATGTTATGAATTTATGTTCTAAAAGAGTAAAAACAGGGAGAGAAGGAAAGAGGAAAGTAAAACAGTTCATTGAAAGTTATATAATAGGTAGGATCATATAATCATCTCCACAGATGCTAAAGAAGCTTTCTGACATAATCCAATTCTTTCCTAACAAAAAAACACTCAAGAAAATGGAAATAAAGGGATACTTCCTGTTACATAGCCCCCAAAATTAATTTGTTGAAATCCTTCCCACTCCAGGCCATGTGCACATATTTAGAGATAGGGCCTTTATGGAGGTAATTAAGGTTAAATGAGGTCATAAAGGTAAGGTCCTAATCCGACAGGATTAGTGTCCTTGTACAAACAGACCAGAGAAATCACTCCCCACTCTTTCTCTGCCATGTGTGGACATAGAAACACAGTAGCTGTCTGTAAATCCAGGAAGAGAATTCTCCTCAGGAATTGAATCCGACACAATGATTTCAGACTTCCAGACTCTAAAGCAGTGAGAAAATAAATATGTTGTTTAAGCTATCCAGTATATGGTACAGCAGCCTGAGCTAATATTTCCATTAAGATCAGGAACAAGGGGCGCCTGGGTGGCTCAGCGGGTTAAGGCCTCTGCCTTCGGCTCAGGTCATGATCCCAGGGTCCTGGGATGGAGCCCTGCATTGGGCTCTCTGCTCAGCAGGAAGCCTGCTTCCTCCTCTCTCTCTCTGCCTGCCTCTCTGCCTGCTTGTGATCTCTGTCTGTCAAATAAATAAATAAATAAAATCTCAAAAAAAAAAAAAAAATCAGGAACAAGAACCATCTCCACTACAAATTAACATAACAATGACTGATAACATTAGCCAATATAATTAGATAAATCATTCATAGGCGCAAGAATTGGAAAAGAAGTAAAACTATCTCTATTTGCAGATGTGATTGTGTATTAGAAATTCCTAGAAAGTGAATGATAAAACTGAATTAAAAAAAAAACAGTAAAGTAGGATATAAAATCATCATATAGAAATCAATAGTCTTGGGGTGCCTGGGTGGCTCAGTGGGTTAAGCCTCTGTCTTCAGCTCAGGTCATGATCTCAGGGTCCTGGGATGGAGCCCTGCATCGGGCTCTCTGCTCAGCAGGGAGCCTGCTTCCCCTGCCCCCCCCCCACCTCTCTGCCTACTTGTGATCTGTCAAATAAATAAATAAAATCTTAAAAAAAAAAAAGGAAGAAATCAATAGTCTTCATATAATTAGTAACCAGTAAGAGGATACAATGGCAAAACAAAGCCAAAACATTTCCACTTACAACAGCAACAGAGAAGATATTTAGGAATAACTTTAACAAAAAAAAAAGTGTAGAATCTACATGAGAAAGTTCAAAATACTCTTGTAAACAACAAAATTAGATTTCAACAAATAGAAAACAGCTCTTGGTCTTGAACAGGATGACTCAACATACCAAAAGACAACTTATGAACAATCACAATTAAAAAATTAACAAACATTTTTATGAAGTTGGACAGGTTGATATCTAAACTTCATATGGATCAATAAACAGGTGAGAATAGCCAAGAATACACTAAAAATGAACAACCTTAAAGAGAGAGACACATTAAAACACATTATAAAGCCTCTATCATTTAAATTGTGTGTTTTGATTATGTAAATATTGATCAGTGGAATACAACAGAAAACCCAGAAATCAAGTATGTACAGAACTTCAGTGTATGATAAAGTCAGTATTTTAAATCAATGAGGCAAAGGTAGACCTTTAAATGCACAGTGTTAGGACAAGTGACTAGTCATCTGGAAAAGATACAATTAGATCTACATTTTGTATCATATAAAAGAATATCCCCAAATGGACCAAGAATCTAAATATATAAAAAAAAAGAAGAAAGAAAGAAAGAAACCACATACATGTACTAGAAGAAAATATAGGTAAATTTATATTTAACTGGGATGTAACGAGAGGCTTTCCAATTAGGATTCAGAATCCAGAAGCAAAAGAATAATAAATTTGCTATACTGGAAAAAACCTTCATGGCAACAAAACTGTATAAACAAGTTCCATAGGGGCTCCCAGGTGGCTCAGTCAGTTGAGTGTCTGCCTTTGGCTCAGGGCATGATCCCGGAGTCACAGTGTTTGGGATCAAGCCCCACACTGGGCTTCCTGCTCAGTGGGGAGTCTGCTTCTCCCTCTGCCCCTCACCCTACTCGTGCTCCCTCTCTTCTATCTCAAATAAATAAAATTTTAAAATAAGATAGTAACAGAATTCCTAGTACCAAAGGAAAAAAAAAGACCAAAAAAACCTGATAGAAAAATGAGCAAATGACACAAAAAGTTATTCTAAAAAAATGAACCTTTGACATACAAAAAAATATGTTCAGCATCACCCATACTAAAAGAAATGCAAATCACAAGTATACTGAGATACCATTTCCCACCTATCAACTGGCAAAACTTAACAAAGCATGATGATGCACATGCTGGCAAGGCTGTGGGGAAACAGGCATTTTTACGCATTGCTAAATGGAAATCCAAGCTGGCACAACCCTTGTAGAGGGGACTCCGGTAATATATATGCATTTATCGTTCGAATCAATAGCTGCATTTCAGTAATTTATTCTGAAGATACACCTCCAAGAAGACAAAAATACACTTGCATGAAGTTACTTGTTCCAGCACTGTACTGGAAGCATCTGTACACAGAAGAGTGGTTAAACAAACTGCAGTACCTCCACACTACGGAGTTCTCTGCAGCTGTAAAAAGAATTAAGGGCTACGTCTATGCACTGTTGTTGGAATGATTTCCTTGTTAGGAGGGGGAAAAGCAAAGTAAAAAAGAATATCAATAGCATATTAGATTTGAACTTCGGAACGTCTCTAACAAATCAGATCCTAAAAAAATAATTATAGGGGTGCCTGGGTGGCTCAGTCTGTTAAATGTCTGCCTTTGGCTCAGGTCATGATCTCAGGGTCCTGGGATTGAGCCCTGCTTCAGGGTCTTTGCTCAGCAAGGAGCCTGCTTCTCTCTCTCCCTCTGCCTGCCTCTCTACCTACTTGCCATCGCTGTCAAATAAATAAATAAAATCTTCAAAGAAAAATAATTGTAACATTAACTCACCAAGAACAATCATTCCTGCTACTACTGAATACCCGATTCCTCTTAAAATTCTCTGGATTATCTTAACATGTCTTCCTGCAGCTTGAATCAAGACCAAACAAAGTCCACACATTATTTTTGGAAGATATAGCTCTTAAAGTACAATTCCCTCTACTTCTCCCCTTTCTCTTTTTAAAACGCTATTTACAGAGTCTTTATGGTTGATAAAATGTGTTTCTCTAGCTCCTTTATTTCCTGTAAACTGCTAAGGGCTTGATGGGACTGTGGCTCGCCTTTTTTCACTGCTGTTACAAGACGGCTTAGGTGGTACTGTTTACTCCCTACTGCATCACGTGTTTACTACAGTTGCCCTCTGTTAGTGTTACAGTGGTTTCTAGATCCTTAGGCAATCTGAGTCCCTAAAAGCTTATCTGAGACCATATGTTCATAGCAATATACACATGGTAATAAAGCTAACAGATTAATTAAGAGTTGACTGAGAGACAACTGAGGTTATCAATCAGCAACAGAGAAGCTGGCCAGGAATTTGGCCTCACATAGTCAAGAGGCCAAAAAGTAGAGAAGAGAGGAAGAATTTGACTTGGTATGGAGAAGAGGCCGGCAGACAATGAACACCATGCTTATAGGATAGACACTGGGTTCCAATTACAGTTCTAAAAGATATTTTATACACTTGTACCAATGTTTCCAAATTAACTCACAGAGTATTCAAGATTTATTTTATGATGTTAGTTCACTCAGTCTTAGACATTTTTCCATCTTTAAGCCTAAGGGACTGACTAAGCCAGATTCTCAACATGACTACAAAGCAGATTCTACTGGGAAACCTTTAAAATCCAAATCCGGAGGTCTGGGTCCCACCTAAACAATTCTGTTTCAACTGCTCTAGGATGGGGATATAGTATTATTTAAAATATAGTATTATTTAAAATCTTTCCAGGTGACTCTTATATGCAGCCATAATTGAGAACCACTGATCTTAGCTAAGAATAACAGCAGCAGCAGCTAGTGCTAGTAAGCTCATATTACGTGTTACTGACTGTACTAAGAACTTTACATGTTACTAATTCATTCCCTATCTTACAAGTGAATAAGGTCCGGTAACTTGTCCAAAACCATATAGAAGCTAACAGCAGAGTGAGGATTTGATACCAGGCACTCTGGATCCAAAACCTATGCTCTTAAGCACCATGATATTCTGTCTCCTATGCGTGAATTATACTTATATTCTGTAACTGCAAATAAAATGATTAGAAAAAAAAACAAAAAAATGAGATACTTAACATCCTCCTTAGAAACAGTGGAGTGGCATCCTGTCGCAAAAGTACCAACAAGCTTATCTGGAGAGTAAACAAATAGATAAGAATCTTCTCTTCCCAAAAGATTCAAATTTGAGATTTCCACACATAATCCACATAAATAGTTTCCTATATATCATTCTATATAGTCTAGTTATTTAATGTAAGTATCAAAAATTGCTTCAGTTTTAAAACTCAGTAATGTATTACATGTACATTTACAAGAAAATTTCCTACCTATTTCAGTTCTGCTAACTCCAATGCCATTAAAAATTCTCAAGTAATTAAAGTGACAAGAGTCTGAATCTTCAATGTCAAAGTCACCAAATTTGATGCGCACTCTCTCCCCCATCTTTACACGGATCTCCCATTCGCAAACGGTGCTGTTGGGATACGTCTGTGGATAGTTTATGGACGTGAGGGTTCCACTTTCAGGGCCTAGTACAGTATGTCCACATCCATCACCTTAAAAAAAATTAAAAGAATAAATTATAATTACATCTTTAACATTAGAAATAATCAGGATATTTTTGGTGAAAATTTTAAAATATGTATGACAGCTGTTTTATCCCACCAACACTTTCCTTACACACGATAAAAGGGATGGCAGACTTCTTAGTGTATCTGCTCACAGGAACCAAAAACAGCCAGATAAGGTCAAAATAATCAATGAGTTCAAAGAGCTTTCGAATTTCAATAAACAGAAGAAAATACAGCTTAGCAACAACTTTATATACATAATAAATCTAATCTTTAAAAGAATATCAAGTCATAGTAATTGTTCAAAGTAAATGTAAACTATAAATAAAAGTATGTGATCAGCTTCATCCATTCATCACAAACCCTTCTAAAATCTGTGAGAAGTAGAATAATATCTAAAAACACTTTACACGAAATGCAGATTACTGACCATATTATAGTATTTCAAGGCATTCGGTCTTGAAGGCATTAAGCTATTTTTAATAAAATTTAATTTTATATTCTATTGAAATTTGACTTTTTAGTAGTCCCTCTCCAAAAACCTCACTTTTTCCCTACAGAATGAATGGTGAGAAAAAAAGAACAGTTTAATGACTTAGTAAAGATTAGGAAAAATAACCTTCATATCTTGGTAGCAACATTATCTGTTCCAGAATTCCTTCACTGTGGGAACTCAGGGAACTTAATATAGTATTATTTGCATCCTCCTTTTATCATAAAATTCGGTGTTTGAGCACCTAGAAGAGACATGGAATGTTGAGAAGTTTCAGCTGCTGCTCCAACTGTACCATGTAGCATTCCTTAATGATGGGATTCAAATGAATCTCTTTCTAAAAGGAAGATGAAGACATTGTACTAAAATGATAGTATTTTTTTTCCTTCAAAATAGCCATTTATAATCACCTTTGGAATAGTTCAGTACTTAGCACAAAAAACCTCTATCAAAAAGTGGAAGTGCTGAGTTTTTAAAGTCAATATGGATACAGGCAGCTGTAAAAGGATTTTTCTACTATAGTATTATTATTATTATTAAGAATAATGCAGTGCTGATACCATTTTCTAGAACAGATGAATGGAAGCTTTAAAAGCCTGCGAATAAGAAATTAATATAGTATTTAGCAAGTAGTTGCAAAATAGTTATCAACTAGATGTATAAGGAACTGAATATGAACCAATGAAAAAGTAATTTCAAACCAGTCTCAAAACTCACTTCAATAAAGGAAAAACTATTTACCTACTTTATGATGACAACACTTCATATCCATTCCTGGTCAAGAAATTTTATTCTCAAATCCTTACTAGTATTGTTGGCCCACTTTTAAAGGTCAATCCTAGCAATCTGGTTTCCTAAACAAACATCTATAAGGTTCAGCTTTTAAGCAACACTGAACTTTAGCTATCTCCACATCCACTTTCATACTATACACAAAATCTAGGCTCAGCCGCTCAATAATATATAAAGGCACCATGAAATAAACATGTGAATTTTTGTGATACACCCACTCATCTTCTGCAAATATAGAACTTAAACATTATACAACTCAGAAGAAAAAAAATTCAAATTTTCCCCAAAACTATGATGCAAATACCTTGAATACCTCTACTGAATATCATCTAAATTAGAAAAACAGGGATATAAAAACCTTCACTATGAAAATAAACTGTAATATAAATAACTTTTGAATAATATTAAAATTTTTCCTTAGAGAAAAAAACTATCCCCTAAGACAAAGTTTCTAACATTATGAAACTAGTCTGAAACATTCTCTCACTATTGAAAAGATGAAACTGCTTTCTAGAGTGTTTAAATCTTTGAAAAGTAGCCACTGAACAAATAACTCAAAATATAAATGTATTTTCTTTAGTCAATAGAAACTAAAGCAGCTTTTTAAGTGGCTGGAAGTGCAATAGATTTTAGGAAGCCAAAAATTTCCTATTAACAGCTGAATTCATGACTTCGTAATGGCAGACTGTCCCATCTAATGGATTCCCCACAGACTATTTAACTTAAGGTTGCCATTTTAAAATGATTTTTACAAAAAGAGTACAAGCAGTGTTAGGAGTAATTTTTAGATGTCTTTATGCTCGTATTTATGTTTCATGGTCATTAAACACACGAAGTGTTTCTTGCCCTTTCCTCCATAAAGTATAATTTCTACAAGTTAACAAAATAAATACTGACTGCTGAAAAACAGGACTTTTGCATGCATGCTGATGAAGAAAACAATTAAAATGGAGCTGTCTTTTTTCAGTATCTTGTGAGGGGGAGGGCATGAACAGTCCACAAGTAACGTGCCAAGAATGTTCTAAAATATGTGATGGAGCTCAGAGCTTCCTCCCCTAGCAAAAAAGATGATATGCACCAGAAACCAAAGTTAAAAGAAAGTCTCAAATCTACTACGACAATGAACAACTTTGAATGTTTCATACTTCCAAGACTATTCAAGAAGTTTAACCTGACAAGACAAATAGATTAGCTGGCCTGGATAAACACCTACCCCTATGGAGAATATGTTTAAAATATCCCAGTTTGAAAGGGGAGGCTGGGCTTATACATTATCACTAGGCCAGCAGTTTTCAAATGTTTTTCTCAGCTATTCCAAAGTAAGAAATACATTTTACACTGTTATCCTATACATTCCCGCATGTATGATCCCAACCCACTGAAGGGTCCCCACCAGCACTCTGAAAAACACTATACTAGGCATCCTAAGGTCGTAATGTTGAATTCTCTAAGAAGACCTTGTGCTCACTTTTACCCTTAAGTTAGAAAATGTGCTTCCGGGGCGCCTGGGTGGCTCAGTGGGTTAAAGCCTCTGCTTTCGGCTCAGGTCAGATCCCAGAGTCCTGGGATCGGGCCCCGCATAGGGCTCTCTGCTCAGCTGAGATCCTGCTTTCCTTCCTCTCTCTCTGCCTGCCTCTCTGCCTACTTGTGATCTCCTGTCTGTCTCCTGTCTGTCTCTGATCTCCTGTCTGTCAAATAAATTAAAAAAAAAAAAAAAAAGAAAATGTGCTTCCAGTTTTTCAATTCTTAAAAGCAAATCCTATTCTGTACCAATACTTAAAATGACAAAGTATTTAAAAGTAAAAGTAAAATCTGGAAAAAAGTCTTTATCAGTTAATCACCTAATACACTTAGATAGTGATGCTCAAATGGGGGAGATGTGGAAGCTCCCACAGGAGCAATTTTACCTCCTACTTGGCAATGTCTGAAGATACTTTGGGTTGGTTGTCACAACTGAGGGGATGAGCTGGCATCTGGTGGGTGGAAGCCAGGAATGCTGCTAAACATCCTACACTATGCACAGGACAGCCCCCCAGAATAAAGAATGGCCGATGTTAAACGTCAACAGAACTGAAGTTGAGAAGGCTGACCTAGAGCAAAGTCCAGGACACCTCAGACAGAAGATCTGAGTGAGTTCTTAGCCGAGCTTCCTCTGGCCCGAAGGATGACGCTATTCTGTCCACTGCAGGTACAACCCAAGGAATACTTTCCTCCTACGGTCAGCAGTTATACTCAAGAGTCCCACGTCCCAATTTTTAAAACAAGTAAATGGAAGTTGAAGAAAAGAAAATGTCCTTTTTATTAGTCTACATCCCTTGAGTAATTTTTTTTCTGGGTCAACACCCCTTAAAAGTAGGGTTCGAAAAAGGGTGCTAACAGGGTCAGGAATAAGTCTCCAAATTTCCTGCTTAGTTTTGTATGCTGGAAAAAATAATGACTGGTGACCAGGGAACACCACCTACGGTTATTCATTTTCACATGGCAGAATTGACAAAGACAGCATAACTACGATGGGAAAAATAACTTTCAAAATGGTTATCTGAGTACCAATCCATGTGCCCACACCAGTAACTCCAACATCACCAAATCTTTCTCCTTCTCCACCTCCATCAACACCGCCATCACTGTCACCTTCTCCTCCTCCTCCCCCTCTAAATGGTCTCCACCACAGTATAACTGACCATAAAGCACAGAAGCCTGTTAATGCAATTTCTGAATTTCAGTTTTATTTCAGTGGAGAAGAAACACTGGAATTTGATCTTACTGCTCCTTTGTTTGGCTGCTGATTATCTAGGGGATTACTCATAGAACATGTGTTCACTTCCTCTGAAGAGGCTAAGGTCGGATGTGTTAAGCCAGATACAAATATTGGTATCTTTCCAGGAAAAAAAAAAAAAATTTTTTTTAAACTACTTATCCCTAGAGAAAACAGAACATTAAACATTTAAATAACAATGAATTAATACAACAAAGAACATATTCTTATTTTAAACTGCTCTAAACTTCAGATCAAGTGTTTGCTGTTTTTTTAATAAATACATGCTCGTGACACTGATTACCTGTGACACTGCAGCCACGCCCATATTTTAGTCACATGACTAATACATAATAAAAATTATCTTAATGATTGACTTGTATTAATATAAATACTGCTTGACTTCTAAAAATACTTTAACAGTCCCAAATACAAATGCAGAAACTTGCATAAATATGCCACAAATGTAGAGTAACATAACTTCTATTACAATCAATATAAACTAAGAACTAAGAACATTTTTTTTTTCCAGTGAGCTTTCAAGGACTTTTTTCATCATTGTCAACAGGTGAGTCTAACTGTATTTCCTCTAAGTAAGTGTCATTTCTGCCACATCTTATAATGTATCTGTGAGATCTTATAGTAACCGAAAAAAAGAGGCATTTAGAATAGACAAGTACTCCAAGGATTAACTTGCAAGAATTAATTAATATATCCTATTTCATCTGGCTACAATGAAGATTTTTAATGCAGTATTTAGCACTGAGAATTTTTGGACCGAGGTACTATTATCAGTCCCATAAGGTTTTTTAAAGTTGCATCACTACAAATCTCAAATAATTCAAAGTACTACTTTAATTTTGCTCATTTTAAAAAAATACTCCATAAGATGGATATGCTCTGAAAGCCTAAAGGAGGTCACTGTGGCAATTTTTAGAAAAAGAA